GTAGGGTTTTCTTCAGTTCCGTCGTCGTTTTCCATGGCCTGGGGCGTGTAACGATGGTGGTGGCGGTGGTTGCAGAAGAAGGGAGGGTGAGGACGACTGTGTTTGTTTCGGAGAGTTGTATGCTTGGAGAGTTCACGCCCGGTCTGGAGATATTCTGCAATTTGGACTGCATGACCGGCTGAAGCTGAGACCACAGGTCGTGGAGATACATTTTCCTCTGCGCCGGAACCCCCTTGAGTGGTAATTTTCAAGGACCCGATTTTGGTTGTCCCTCCATAACTTTTGACTGAGAGCGAGTAAAAGAAAAGAAAACAGCTTCGGAACGCCCGCGGCAAGGCGCAAAAGAGTAGCGAGTCGCCAAAAAAAAAGGACAAAAAGAGGAAAAGAAAGAAAAAAAGGTGCTCGCGGCGGGTCTCGAACCCACGAAATTGACCCTAGAGCAACTTTTCCCCCATATATGTTGCTAATCCTTTTTTTTTTTTCGCACCAAACCACCCACACGTGCACAGGAACGCCCTCAAACACTATGCAAATGCCTCTACCGCACCTATAGCGTACATACATCACAAAAATTGGCCGTTTTCAACAAAAATGTTCCATTTTTGTACAACATTCCCACCAGAAACACGGAAAAAAACTGAACAAATACAGCTCAATGAACAAGAATGCGCCATCGACTCTACGGCCTAAATTCCTTCGGGGTCGGGCACCTGTGCGACTTGTACTTCTTGCACGTCTTCTTGCCCTCAGGCCCTTGCACACGCGTCTCGCGGTACATGAGGGCGTGTGTGTACGCCTTCTTGCAGTAGCCCTGGACTACCGAAACAGCCTGTCTATCCTTCTCTGGTCTAAAACTCAGCGGCACGTTCTTGCGCAAGCATTCCAACGAATATTTGCAGTTCTTTCGAGTCCAGTCCTTCGCTCGGCCCCAAACAAGCTCGATGGGGTTACACTCGCAGTGGTACTTAGGAAGCATGAGACAGGCCCCCCCGTGGCGCTGCATCAACAGCACCAGACTAGAATCAACTTCCTTGAAGTCCTTCTGCTCTCCCAAAACGTGCTCAATGCTCTTGANTACACTCGCAGTGGTACTTAGGAGGCATGAGACAGGCCCCCGTGGCGCTGCATCAACAGCACCAGACTAGAATCAACTTCCTTGAAGTCCTTCTGCTCTCCCAAAACGTGCTCCATGCTCTTGCTGAGGTCCTGCTTTTCGCCCGAGCCCCCCGTCTTACTCATGCCTTTGACCAGGAGCCCCCTCTCCCACAAAATCTGCCGCATTCCTTTCAACTTTCCGACATATTGCGCCGGCTTGAAATGCGGGGAGTGGAAGGGGGGATCGTCCCCCCTCCGAAACACCAAGTGCTGTACCGTACCGGCTGGGAGGTTCGGGGTATGTTCGAGGATGGTCACGGGGTCCATCGGCGCAAGCTCTTCTCCGTTTCTCACACCACCGACACCCAAGTTCATTCTCTTCACCGACGGTGCGCCGACCGTCATGCAGTCATGACAGGACGACCAGTCGAAGAGGCCTACAGGCTTGTGCTCAGGGTAGAGAACTGTGAACATGTCGAGCACGTCTGACATGTGGTCCAGCATCCTGAGCCCGGTCCAGTATCCCTCCTTGTTCTTGCCGTACTCGAAGAGGTGGTAGGACCAGTACTGTCCATGCTCGTCTTCATGAAGCATGTCGATGGGGCGGAACTTCTCCACCTTCACGTTTTCCCCCCGTCGCTTCGCGGCAGCTGAGGCGGCGCATCGTTTCCTGCGGTTGCGCTCCGCGTCCTGGATCTGTGCCCGCGACGCCGAGAAGAAGCCAACGTTGTGGATTATCGTCCCCGACACCATGATCCCCTGGCCTTGTGACTTCTTCACGGGCACATGCTGGCCGTCCCGATACCACGCGCGCCTCTGGTCGTCGTTGGCTGCAAATACAAACAAGAAACCGACAATTTAGGGGCGGCAGATGTGGCGCTGTCAACATGTGTGATTAAATTTAAAGTCCCACGATTGAATTGCGAGCAAGGTTACTGTTCGCGCCCGGAATTTACACCTAAATGATCGAACCCGCTTTGCTCCGTTTAAAACTAACCTCGAAATATGCTCTCGTCCTGGTAGAGAAGCATGGCCCGCCT